AAATTTAAATTAATCCATAAATAATTTATATTATTGCATATATTGTACAATTATCAGTTTGAAAAGATTATAAAAACCGAGAGAGATGGTGCAGGGCATCAACTGATGACACAGGTATCCCTCTTGTCGGGAGGTCCTGGGTTCGAGTCCCGACGATGGCAGGAGTTTCGACACTATCTTGTTAGGACGACGTAGTTTCTCTCATCAACACCAGGAGAATGTCAGAGCAGTACCCTTACAAAGAGCCACGGACTGCGCGCGATTTTACCTTCCTCTTCCTTGTCCCATCGTCACCCCTTACATACACACTTACACTACTTCACATGCCGGGAGACCCGTCGGGAGCTAAGAGTTTGGAAGCTGAGAGAAGAAGCTTGGTCGGAGCCTCTCTGGTGGGAGATATCTGGTTGGTGAAAACTAGTCGACGGTAGGTCGGCGCTGGATCTTGCCCTACAGCGGAGAAATGATCACCGCCACCTCCCCAGCGAAAAACATGCATTACAATTACGGGACTTATGACCCTGGTAGTTGACGTGCCCGGAATCACTAAACAATCAGTCAATCATTATAAAATAAATATATATTTATTCAAAATTTCTTGGTTGAATATTTTTTTTTTTTATTTTCATAAAACTTTCCCGTCCAGAATCAGACATGTCACAACTGTAATGCATTCTCTGTGAATTTGTATGTATTAATATTTAAGCCACATCATGTTAAGTAATTACTATTTTTATTTATAATTAATATCCAAAATGTCATCAAAAATTATTGTAGTTTGAAGTTTGTGTTAAGTAATGGATTTTTCGGCTCCTGGAACTCAAAATCAAAATGATAGGCTATTTGTTTCACGACATTAACACAGATTCTTAATGATTATTTTCAACGAACACTGAGAGCGTTCGCTTTCACGTATTCCTATTGTTTACACTAGTAGCTGAGATGTGGTCGGTGAAGGGTTCGCTAACTGGCCTCTGAACTCCCAGCGCGCGGGTTCGATCTCGGGCGAGGTGTCCGGATTTTAGAAGGGCGGGAACTCCACAGTAGCCATGTAGCATGTAAAAAGTAAAACGTCCTGGTGGAATGCCCAGCAAAATTAAATTCCCCCAGCAACATTCGCCCTAACGAGACCCCATTTTCTTCCACACACACAGTTAAAAAAGTAAGACTGAGACCAACATATGGTAGTGAAAGTCAAATCTCAGGTGCATTAAGTGGACCGCCCACGTGTTGCGCCTGCTCAGAAAAAAAGGCCCTCTGATCCCCGTCGGGGGTAGACTTCGAAATCCGGGTGCGGAACAACTACCTAGGGCCAGTTTCCCAATAAAGTCCATACGATAATACGATAAATACACTAATAGAAATATAAATAAAGTGTCATTTTGTCAGATTATTCATATTTTTATGTGTATAAAGCATGCCCGTAACCATGGAATTACTCTAAAACAATTTAAAAATATAAAAAAGGAATTTCCTCAAAATATTTACGTGGTAATCTTAACGTACATTTAGCTCCTTATCTCTCTGACATTAAAGCCCTCGGAAGATTTTTAGAAGTGTTCATCTTTGCGAACTGAGTACACTAAAATCTCTTCATGAAGCCTAGTAGGTTTGTAACCACGTAGGACATTTACTGCAACTGTTGGGAGCTTGAAGGTATATAGACTGAAGCAAGCAACATGTTTTGATGTATGGCCAGGAATTCTGTTGTTTCACATACAGTTAATTATGTAAAATAGGGTGGATGACCATACAGAGTCCTAAAGCTGCGTAAAAGGCAGTTGTAAGAAGCAAATTATATAATACTCTTAAAACCTATATTGTATCATTTCTCATGGATAGCTATCATAGAACCAATTACGTTGAAAGTGGGCAGACCGCGACTTCGTTATTAAGAGTGCTATAGTAAAATAAATGCGTTTATCTACTCCTGTTATGCAGATAAAACGAGTAACTCCATATTTCAGTTGTTTTAAAGTGTCGAAGTGGGTAATTTCTAGAGAAGTTCGGAAATTTGTTTTTAGTTTCTCGCGTATTACTGACGTGTTAAAGAAAAAGTACCGTAATGCTGCAGCAAAAAGTGACTCTCTTTCGTGTGTGACCCTGATGCAACAATTAGATAAAGCTTCCTTGTATATATACTAAGTTGCTGCTTCTAGTACGCTGCAAAGTTGGAATTTAAATTTGTAATTATTTATACTAAAAAATGGTTTACGGCAATTTTTGTCTGTCTGTAAGTATGTATGTATGTATGTATGTATGTACACAAAACTAACGGCTAAACTATTCAGAGTTTTTTTCAAAAGTGATATAACTGTTCTATCTATCCGCACAAGTGGTATGTGAATTTGAAACGAATATTTTAATGTTTGGAGTTACTTTATATGAAGGCTAACAATATTTTCCAAATTTTTTCAAAAGGCTCCATATTTTTCTTTATTTTTTCTCATGAAAAAAGTACGGTTTTAAGAAAATCTTTTCAAAGAAAAGCTTTTAATGTCTGGGCCTTTTTTATTCTTATTATCTGAATTTCAAGAATTATTATATTATATAACCATTACAAAACTACTGTTGTAACACTACATGTTTCGAAGTAAAATTATTAACATATTACTAATTCGATAATTTACGATACAATGTAATTTGTAATGAATTCTTACATTTTCAAGGAATGCGCTGTTGATTCAGGGGTCTTTAAATCCCCTCTCTACATAATGTGCCATCTTAACTGTCATGAATTAAAGTCTAGTAGTAAAAACAAAATGACATTCGAAAAAGAAACTGAATTACGAACAAATATTATATTGTATTTCGTTTTTTCTTACGATAGTGTAGATTTTGTTGTTATTTATATGACTGACAAGACAAGTAATTTCACCTTGTCCACATTTGAAAATTGACAAAGAGTGCGTACTCCATTATCAGTACTTCAAGATGTAAATATTGCTTATCTGATTGGTCAACCCCAACACATATATCGAAAATGATTTGAGGAAAATCTAAAAAGCGTATTTCTATGCAAACTATTAAGACTATTATTACTGAGAGAATTACAAACAACTTTCGTCAACCGCGCGATATTGTGGAGGTGAGTGCGTTTTAGTAGCTGTGAGAAATTCTAAAGGGTTTACTTCTGTCTTCAAATCTCTGAGAAAATAATTTTTGCATCATCCGGAATTTCTTGCCTATATTGTGAAACTTCTTTTTATCGAATAAAATTAAGCCACAAGAACTTATCTGCCGGTCCGGATGGCCGAGATCGCTAAGGCAGTAGTGCCGCAGCGATCTCGGACCGAATGTTCGCGGGTACGAGTCCCGCCTCGGGCATGGTTGTATTCTGTTCGTTCTTTCACTCCCTATCATCATCATATCGTGTCATCCTCATAGTTACCATACCGTTACATGCAATAGTGCTCGCTAATGACCAAGTAGTTTATGCAACCATAAATAACAAAAAAAACGTCTGTTTCTTTTCGGATAGATAGATAGATAGATAGATAGATAGATAGATAGACAGATAGATAGACAGATAGACAGACAGACAAGTAGACAAGTAGACAAGTAGACAAGTAGACAAGTAGACAAGTAGACAAGTAGACAAGTAGACAAACAGACAAACAGACAAACAGACAAACAGATAAATAGATAAATAGATAAATAGATAAATAGATAAATAGATAAATAGATAAATAGATAAATAGATAGTCACAACCATTGTGAACGGCCCTGATCAACTCCACCCCCGATCTTAATAGTTAAATCCGTCGGCTCGGTGGGTGCTTTTAGCGCGGTAACTGCCCAGGCCGGCCAGGCCCGTCCTACCCTCTTCCTCCTTCCCGGCCGTTCCGACTGAGCGCGGGCGGATCTGTTTATGACCCTTAGGGACCCGCGGCGGTGTGTGTTTTTTGCGAGGCTGCCCCGAGATATTGGCCACTATGTACCCGTCGCATCGAGACGCCTTCTAAGGGTTTCTAAAGAATCAAATATGAGACTTTTCATAAACACACGTGCGAAGGAGAGACCATTTGAACCCCCCAGAAATGCATACCAGCGATTCGTAACGCGCACTTGCCAGACGGTTCTTTGGAAATATTCATTTTTTTAAAAGATTAAAATTTTTTGATGCGTAAAATTCGCGTATTGATTAAATAAATGATGATAAAATTCGCGCGCGATTAAAAATTGAACGCGTAAAATTCTTGAAAATGAATAAGAAGCCTGACCTGGTACAAAGTCGGAGAATCGGACATTAGGTAAACCACCATCTCTCCCGAAATCGACGACAAATTTCCAAACTCTCAAATAATTTTATACTAGGTAAAGTGTAACGGGCCTATCGCTATATCTGCCTTTTGGGATCTGCTTTGACGCATGTTTGCGCGGAAGCCTAACATACGAACAAGTGTCAAAATTATGTAATTTAGTACGTTAAATAATGCAATATTTGGTGATGTTCGTGATCACCAAAATCCGTGGTTTCAATTAGGCTTGAAAGACCGGGTACCCTGCACAGTGAATGAATAGAAACTAATACTCAAGTTTAAAAGTATAATATAGTCTGATTCATATCAGATTCTATTCAATTAAAGACTTCAAAGAGTTGCAAATATTGAAATGTTCTTTATTTTAATAATGATGCATTATATACCGAGTGTGCCATTTAACCTGAGAAATCGAAATAATTGGAAAAATACGAATTGTACAAAAATGTTGCAGACAAAAATATATCCAAGGGGTACATCTGCATGATCTGAAATTAAACCACGCCCCCTCCTCCTGGAGGGGAGGGGATCAATTTTGAAATGTTAAACAAGAATCTCCATTTTTATTTCAAATTTGGATTCTATAGTAATCATAAGTTGTGTGTAATTTTTTAATATTTCTGATACATTGCGCTGTAATCTCAAAAATATTTTGTTTTGCAATTCTCGAGAACTTACACACTGGATTGAAAAATAATGAAACGCCTGTTTAATATATATTTTTTAATCGTATCTAAGATAACAAAAGATAACAGTAAAATCCACCTCTACCCCACCCCCGGGGGTGAGTGTTAACTTTCAAATATCAAACGGAAACCGCCATATTTTCATTAAAGAATTAGATTTATCGTGTAGTTTTTTCCATTTGTGATTAGTAGGCGTTGACCTTTTTTTAAATCTCGTACTCCGATGGTGAGATGCGAGGGGACTCACCTAAAACAATCACCCCGGAGGGAACATTATGCTACTACGTACATAGACCTCGTTGTTCCTGGGTAAATCTAAAAGTAGTTTGTTGATACTGAAAACATTTTAACGCTATCATGTATGAAAAAATGTACACAATAAATCTAATCCTTTAATGAAAATAATATGGGTTCCTGTTTGTGACTTGCAAGTTACCACACACTCTATTCCCTAGGAGTAGGATGAGGACTTAACGTTTATCCCTAGAAACTTTTTGAAACATTATTGAAAAGATATTTTATTATTTTTCAATCCGAAATGTCATTTCACGAGAAATGCAAACAATCATATTTTTGAAATTATAGGGCCATCTACCACGAATCAAAAAATGTTTCAGACAAAATTTTTGTATTATTTACCGCGCAATCCAAATGTGCAATAAAAATGGGGTTTCTATTTAACATTTCAAAGTTGCCCCCTCTCCACCCGCTAGCGGCGAGGGCGAGGTTTAATTTTGGTTCAGACAGATGTCCCCCTTAAAGATCTTCATTTTTTGTCTGAGATTTTTTTGTACGATGAGTATTATAAAGTTATTTTGATTTGTCAGGTTAAACGGGACACCTGAATATATCTAAAATATTCACTATTCCTATAACAAGTATTGTACTTCAATTTCTAGGTCAATAATCCGCATCATGATAAAGTTTATCGTCTAGATTCCTTCTGATTTGACTCTGGACATAATTGTATCTTGAACACACACATATTGTCTACTCCCCTTTTGCCAGTTGTGGGAAGAATAGGGACGGAAGTGTGGGCTGTTATTTTGTCACCACTAATGTGAAATCAAATCTGCAGTTTGTTTGCCGATACAATTTTATTTATTATTATTCAGAAGCAAAAAGATCTTGTATTTAAATGCTGTTAACAACCCGTCATGTTATTTGAGTTAAATATGGCATAGAAACATTTGAAAACCGTACAAGTATAGCTCGGCAATTGGTGTGTCTGGTTCACTTGATGTGAAATATTGCTATAAAGAACAACTGAAACAATCAACATAGCTTACTTCTTTAGTGCAGCAAGCACCACAACTAATTGCCATATTTTCTAGGATAAATGAAATGCTATTCAACAAACCTCCTACAGATTTTAAATGATATATTATTAATCCTATGTATCTTGTATGAACTCTGTAATCTTATTTTATAGCGATGACGATAATTGAATCTAAACTGGCGATTCATCACCACCGCCTTTCCAGCACGGAGCAGTGAACGCAGTTCTGTTGGGGACTGGGCGCGGAAGGAAGGGTGTGGATCCGCCTTCGTTAGACGTACTACCGCCCTCTTCGCCACAGACCTCACTCCTACACACCTTCCCCCACTCCTAACGCCTCCGCTCTCCGCAGAAAGGAGGCGCAGACTAAATCAGGTCGGCGCCTCGTTACGGACTGGCCGTATCTCACAGAGCAACAGGAGCGAAGTGTCTTCATTAGCAAAGACCACCAGGCAGGCAGGCAGGCGGGCCGACCGGTCGGTAGGCACCACCCCTCGTCCAGTACCCTCCGCTCTCGCCCCGCTTTCTCTCTCCTTGGATTCTCAGCCCACGCATCTTGCTCGCAGGCTTCGCTGCAGGTAACTACGCCCGTGCTTCCGTACCCATCGCAAAAGCTGGTAGTCGTCTATCCTAGTGGCAGAGTTTCCTTGTTTTGTTTTATTTATTTATTTATTTATTTATTTATTTATTTATTTATTTATTTATTTATTTATTTATTTACTTCTTTATTTGTTTGTTTGTTTCTTTGTTTGTATGTATTATTTGTTTGTATTTGTTCCTTAATTTTATTTTTTGTTTATTTTTTATTTTTTATTCATAATTAAAAATAGTAAAAGCTGTCCTATACTTTACTAAGACGTCGTAAGGTTGTTTGAAACAAGCTAATTAAATCAGACCACCAGGGTTTCCATTGGTAATAATTTCCGTGATTTTATGGATATGTGTGATTGTAGAACTTTTATTAGTAATAAATCTCGACCATAATCCAAATAGACTTATAATATACATTTATCGTAGTATGATTTAACACACGTTAACATTATATTGCTATATTAACGATTAACTTTTACTTAGATACGTTTCGCCTGGTGTTGATCCGAAAATCCACGAAAAACTACTTATCAGCAGCAGGCTGTATTAATTTTTGTCCAGAGAACATTCTGCAGCGGCTGAATTTGCTATATTCTCCGATTAAAATGAAAGTCCTTCATGGTCACGAGTTGGCAGGAAAGGAGGACACTGTCATCGAATCGCGAATTTCGTTGCGACTTAAATTTTTGGTAAAGAAGCTGCCGATATTATGGTGTCTTCCTCTGTTTTATCTTGTGGCCCCTCAGTATAGGTACACAGCTAGGTTTGAAAATCCTCCCCATCTAGAATCAAAATTTAGGACCTTCCGGTCATGATTAAATTATCCAATAAGTATGTATTTTTTTCATTACTATACTCACAGTACTTTTATAATGGATGTACATTTATAAGTTTTAACTTCTATCATAGGTTATTTCCCATATTTCTTGAAGAAAATCACTATCCTCTTTAGGAAGGAAACAGTAATAACATTTAATATATTCCCATGTATTTTTGCATTTTAATGCACCAATATTTTTCTGTATTTAATTGGTAGATTTTATTTTGAGACTGTTAACATTAGTTTGTTGCCCTGTACCTATTCATTTCGAGCACACTTGAGAAGACTGGTTTCGGAGGATTTTACCATTTACACTGACTACTCAAGCAACAATTTCTCAGTGTATGAACAAATTAAATTTACATATCGATCTGATGTACCAAAGTGGAAAACTTATCGTTCCCTGAGAAAACAGAATGTGCCGTCTGGCAAGGCGCCAGTCAGGCGTCTGGGTGGCACTGCCTTGCTGAATTGTGTGCCACATTTGCCAAGCATTTTTAATTTTTTTTATTTTGCATCAAAAACAGTTAAAAACTGTGTGTGACATGCTGCGGAAGAAAGTGATTTATGTGCACGTTTTCTTAATTCTGGGATCACTACCCTAAGCCATTTATAAGTTTAAATCAGACTATAGAAAGAAGTTACATTTATTCCCAGAAGCAAACAAGGCGCCATCGCTGTATCCTTATCCACTCCAACGATCAGGCGCAGTGGACAAAAATTAATTAATCGTAATCAATTAATCTTCATCTCAATCAATCTTAATCTTAGTCAATTAAAATTAATTAATTAGTCTTAATCGACATGGGGGTCATTGCCCCATTGCTGAGGTACATACTTGTTACAGGTTGTTTAGAATTGTAGAGTCCAAACTTCTCATAGAGATGATGCTGGAAGTGGGGTCCCTTCACAGAGATTCGCGTTAAGGAAAATTAGCAAGGAACGACATACAGTCTTACCGTATCTCTCATCTACACGATTGTTTGTCAAAGGTTTCAAATCTTATTTCGGATCTTTGTTACTAGATAGTTTTTATAGTAAACATTTCCGGTTCTGAGGAGAAATTACGTAAGTAGTGTATTTTGTTATGAAACAAGCTCATAATAAGATTCTCAAAGGGAGTCCGTTGGTTCAAATGTATTCTTAGCACTTCTAGAAATCAATAAGATTTACTCCTTGAAGCAAATCAGGTCGTGTAATGCGATTTGCTCTTCAATAGAGCACCAGCCGGTGCTCTTCTTCCAAATGAGAATTTCCTGCGTATAGCTGATCTTCCTAACTGGAAAAGGTGGTTCAGAGCATCAGCATACCTCTGACCGAGAGGTCGTAGGTTCGAATCCCGACGGTGCACCGTCACCGCGGTGACATGATTTTTCGGCACCGGCTACATACCTATGTCTAGTTCGGTCGCTGTCTGAATGATATTTCTAGCGACCGGCTGTTCCGATCGGTAGTTCTTCGAGTTTCCTCCACTCAACACCTTGCTAATGCCGGAAAAGTATCCTAAAGAACGGGCCAGGGACCGCGTACAATCTTTTCTTCTCCTTGTCCTGTCCTCAACCCTTACTTACACACAATCACGCTTACATCCAGTACACATGCCGAGAGACCGATCGGGAGCTCAGAGCTTCTCCCAGCTGGAGCGGTGCTCTGCTATTGGGAGATTCCTGATTGAGGGGAAACCCCCTTAGCCAACGGAGGTCAGCGTCGGATCTCAACATGACTGTGGAAGATCACCGCCCCCTTTCGAAGAAAATTTACGCACTACACTGCAAACGGGACTTACAGTTGTCGTGGAAACTGTCAAAAACATCAATAAACCAATCAATGAATAACTCATCAGAAGCCGGTGTTCCTCTCCTGCTAGGATATGAAATGCAGCGGCGAATTATGTGTCGGCTTCAGGAGCATTCCCTCCCTCCAAATATATCTCGATTAGTCGGAACAAACTAGGCTCCGACTGGTCTTCCGAGATGTCTGGTAGTGTAGTGCGTGAAAGAATGGTATTTAAGGCGAAAGGATGAGGGAAAAAAGATAACGCGCGATCAGTAGCTCGTTTGTTAAATGTATGATCCTACTTAAAGATCGGTATTTCATCATGAAAATACCGGTATATTCAGGAGAAAATACCGACAAAATATCTTTAGGGGTATTTTACAAATATAGACGTCGAATAAAGGTATAATACCTCTAAATGACGTCTTTTTTAGGTATTGTACTGGTTCTGGTTTATTTAAATATCAGTATTTGACATCTTATACCGGTATTTTTTAAGGTCTTTTGAATAATGGTTTAATAGAGGTAGAGGTATAAGGTACAGTTTCTATACCGGTATAAATACCTTTACCACTGTAATTTCGGTATTCGGTCCCTCTAATGAACGCCTAATACCTTTCAAAATCATGACATAGCCTTGGAACTGCTTACGAACAATTACGCATGTGTACATGATCGCAATTTTGTGGGACTCATCAACAACTAGCCGGCGAATCTACCCAGATCTCACTCAGTAGACTTCGTTGCAAATTGGAAGTTCTCAGGCAATAAAGCATATAAGTAACAATCATGAACCTTTGCTAAAGAGGCTAAGATTACAGCTTCCAAATATGCTTCTCGTATCAAACCCATCGCACAACTACCACCTCCTTACCCCTACTCCAGAAAGTTTGCAAACCTATAACAACTCCAACAAACTACAGATTTTCACGTTTTACATCTGGGCCTACTACGATGCAATTCGAAATGATTCCTCCCAATGGGATCAGCAAGAAATTCCCCGCATTCTTATACTTGATCCACCAGTGCAAACAGTACTAGGAAACGTAAACGTAATATAGCTACTTGAAACTTCTAATGCCACAATAAATTTGATGTATGTTCCTCTGGGGTTATGGGAAATTTTTGACTAAATGAATGGAGAGTCATCGAAAGTTTATTGGGTCTTTATTTTGTCATTTTCCTATTCTCGCCATTCTACGTACATACGAAAAATTTAGTATTCCTTCCACTGTCAATTAATACCTTTAACTTCCTGTGTAGTTTGAATCCATGTTTTGTGTAACTTTGCTACTCAAAAATTGCTTGTCTCTAAAAAGTCCGTCTGTCCGTCACCCTGGTCAATGCTAGTATTTAAACCGATTTAGTTATTTACTTCCAAATGAATACTTCGCGAACGCTCTCGACGAACTTAAGGCCCTATGAATTTCAAAGCGATATTTTGGGTATTGTTTACATAATGTTTCTTCAGAACTTTCCAAATTCTCTCAAAAATGGCCCAAATGTTTCTTAAACCTTTTCCTGGGATAGCGCAATTAACGCTTAAAATTTGTCGTAGGTCTCATTTTCGTTAAACTCTCTAAATTTTCGAAAATTGCAAATTCAAATGTTTACGGCGTCTTTCTACTACTACAATTTATAAGATAGAGACTTGTATTGTCATTCAAATGTGTTCTTCAACTGCAAAAGTTTCAATAATATAATATTCGAGTTTTTGAAAATAGTTAATTTGCGAAATTGTTCAACAATGTTTTTAAAAGACACCAATTTTTTTCTTTAGATTATTCATCAGATGTAGCGAAGAGCGCTAAAATATGGAGCTAGTCCTATTTCCACAGAACTCTATATTTATGGAAATTGCAAATTCTTTACATTGCAAAAGAACTACTTTTATTAGAAAGATAATACCTTAATAAAATATTTTCTTACAAATACTCTGTCGGAAAAAATATTGCAACAAGATTGCATTAAACAATTTATTCCTCCATACAGGTACAGTACATATAGACAGAATACTACTCACGTTTATACCGGCAGAGCTATGTGAGACTCGCACTATCAGCAACAGAAAGAAACATAGAACGGAAACGCCACATCAATTTTGTGTACCCGCCGCGGGCAGTACGACAAGCCCTGATGCAGGCTGGCATTCCATCGTACAGGTGGCGAATATAGTCCTGCGGTGCACTGTTTCACGCCTCCTGCACCGCCTCACTCAGAACAGGCACAGTAGTTGGGGAGCCGCAGCACAGGTCAGGCTTTGGCCCATCATGTCCCACACATGCTCTATCTGGAGACAAATCTAGCGAGCGTACCGGCCAGGGCAGTTGACGAACATCGCAGACAGCGTTTTGCGGATCATCCGCGGCTTGTGTGAGGACGGGCATTGTCCTGTAGTAACAACGCACCACCTTTCCGTTCAAAAATAAGTATCAGCAAAGGCCACACAACTTTCTGGCCGTATCTAGCGCTGGTCAATGATCCCTCCACGAACACCAAACACGAACGCGCGTTGTAGCTGATGTAGATAAGCACCCTACACCATCACCCTACGTCACGTGGACGAACACACTTCGGTTGCACACGCTCGCCTGTGTGACGCCGCACACGCACACGACGATTACTGGCGTGCAAGTAGGAGCGTCTCTCTTCACTGAACACCACTAAACGCATTTCCGTCTCCCAGTTGACCCCTACATTGCACTACACCAGACGTGCCCGACGATGGTTCGGCGTGAGTGGCAGTCAGGATAGCGGTATGCGCGATTGTGATCCTGCAGGAAGTAACCGGTTCCCAACGGTGCGTGGAGACACGTTGGAGGCCACGTGTGCCTGTTTCTCGCTGCGGGTGGCCGTAGGGTCTGCCATCGCCGCCCTTGCCGTTCGTCCGTTGATGCGTCGATCTTGCCGTTCGTCCGTTCTCCGCAGTCGCCCCAAAATGGGTCTTCGGCTAGGGGGAGTTCGTCCACCCATCGTCGCCAGCATCGCAGCACCGACGTCGCATCACGGCCCACGGCCACGCATCACCAATGCGCCGAAAAAAACAGTCGGCATCGCGCAGGCGGACAATCCGGCCTTGCTCAATGTTGTCCCGTTGCTTAAAGAACTCACGCGTGCGACGCCTTGGCACACATAAGTCGCGACTAGACCTTATCGCAGTGGACAGCGCCTTTTAAACCCGCGGAATGGATGGCGTGTCAGGGCCATTTTTCACACCGCTATTACGTCACCAGGCGTAAGTAATCCGGGAAATGTTAATCACGTCTTCTACGACCCACCATTCCTTAAGTCCCTTATCACCTACTTGATTGCCCGTATCCTTCTCGGTATTGCAATACTTTTTCCAGCCAGTCTAGATATCTAAATAAGCTTATGTACAATGTTTGGAGAAAACGAGTTGTTTTTGCTTCATGAAAAGGCAATTTATAAAAAAAATATCGAAAAGATATTGACTTTTTTAAATGTTATCCTTGGACAGAAAAAAGGGTGCTTAAAAGGGGTGGAACTCCCAATAATTTCAAAAATTGCTAACAAAAAAGTAAACTTGCAAATCTACAAGGTTGATATGAGTTTTTTGTTTTAATTAAATCTGTTTTTTAATACCATAGCTTGAATTAATATTGAAAAATTCGCTGATTTTTCCCTGAAATATTTAACTTTTCTTGAAGCGACGGGAAGATTGAGTTTAGCCTTTTTGTACATTACCTCTCCTTCACTACAAAAAGGTAACGAGGAAACATGAAGGTAAGGCAAAAGGTGGGCTAATTCTAAGAATCTGAGTTCGAATGTCAAAAATTGTTGCTGGTTGGAAACACTTTTGCAGGTGTTTGTAATATTATATTAATATTGCGTATCCGTTGCCAATAATGCGAGAAATTATGTACTGTTGTAGCCCCACTGGTTACTACTCGGAGCGAAACGTTATAGGTCTTAAAAGTTTTTAACAACACTTTGTGATATGTCAATTAGTTGCACTAATGTATCTTATTATTATGTTTAGAAAGACAGTGGGGTGGTGATTCTGGAGAGCACGAAAAAATGCCGCGCGTATTACAGTTCTCCCCCATACACTTGTTCTGTTCTTGACGATAAATAAATAATTTATTTAATTATTAATGAATAAAATAAATACGATCTGTGCCATCTCTCAACGTGGCTGAGCCATTCTCTAGGTCATTTTTCCCAGAGAGAAGATGTGCAGCGCTGACGGAAGTGTCTCCCCGTCGCGCCCTCTCAAACGAAAGAAAGAGGAGAAATTACAAATGCAAACACGCTGTAAGCGCTCTAATTGCACTACTCCCTCGTACCGAAATGTTGGCTTACTTGTCCTAAGCTCTCTGGCAAACCGCTATTTGACACTCACACGTTCCCTTTGTTCTGCTTAAACGGCTTCTGGCAAAGGACCAGAAAGAGGATTTTGTTTTTAAAAGCATTTGGTGTGGAAGGCGACATAAAGATAGAGAACGATCAGTTTCCGTATTACGAAGTGTAGACGTTTTTGCGGTATTAAAGATGTGCAGCAAAAATGAATTTTTAAACACGAATGTAGTTAATAAATAAATAACACCGAGCTTCGTGTATTTTCAATTGTGCAATTCGAATATATACATTCTACATGCTTCAGCATGAATGATTTGTGAAAAATATCATAGAGCGTGATGTTCTGTTAATTAATGATAAACTACACTTCTAGGAACTTTAATTTGCTTTTAAAATGAAAAAACATCCGGCTCGAGGATTTAAATACTAACAGAAATAATGCATTAATATTCAACATGTAATTATACCACCACATTCCAGTAAAAACTTTCTGGATTCCAATCATTAAACAAGCTAAAATTCTGTGTATCTCCAATAATAATTTGAAAAGCTGCAGCTGTATCTTTTGGCTGTTGTTGTTGAGGATTTTATTTTATATTTGCTTTATTGTTTTAATTATGAACTAAATGGATGAGACTCAACACCAAAGTCGTTCTTCAAATACAAATTATATTACATGAAGATAAATGTCAACACATCATATCCAGAAATTCATATAGGGAAAGTTAGCATTTGTGGTTCACATTATAGGTTTTATACACGGGATAAGAACTCCTCAGTCAGTCTTGTAAAAGTAAGAAGATAATTTTTCGCGTCTCCCTATCATATTCTTTACTTGTGAATTCAAACTATGAGCTTTAGAGATTTAAGCGATGCATTTTTGCTTGAAAACTGCTTTTGCACTTATTTATACTCATCAAAGTACTTGGTTTTAAGAAAGCAACTTCATTATAAAGATTAGTATGATATATGATAATCACTAACATTCTTCTTAAAAATGAAATATCACCCAGGTCCATCGTCCACGGGACAAGACATAAAATATTGCGGCAACCACGGCATGATTCTTGCAAAAGATTCACAGTCCAGTCTACCAAGACGCTTAGGCTGCCGGCTTTTCAAAGCTTTCCTCCACTGCCGCGCTAAATCCGCTTCCTAGTTCACGAGACCTTTCACGCAGGCCAAGAAGACTGCAGCCGGCAGATCTTTCTTTTTTCGACGTATTACAGTGAACGGAGCACCCCGAGTTCCTATTAGTCTCCGCGCACAGCTTCCAACTCGAGCAGACCAGACGGACACTGGGAAACGGGGAGGAGAGGCGAATAGACAGAAAGAAAGAAAGAAAGAAAGAAAGAAAGAGAGAGAGAGAGAGAGAGAGAGAGAGAGAGAGAGAGAGACCCAGGTGAGCTTGGACTAGTGCGGGCGCAGACAGATAAAGGCCAGGCAGGTAACACGACGCGATGGCGGAAGCTGGGACCCTTTGCCGGCAGGTGGCAACGGTGGTGATGAGGATTGCGAAGGGCGTGGTCGCCAGTTGTGCAGGCTTAGCGGGGGTGGAGATTGCGAAGTCGACACGTGCTCCCTGGATGAAAACGGCAAGACAGTGTTGCGGTGCGATGGTGGTTACTCAAGAAGCAATTGGGCGAAATATATATTGTTCACGGCATTCACCTGAGATTGTCCGAATAACTTAATTTTCATGTATGTACACTATAATGCTGCACGAGACGATTTTGCTCGAACACTGCGGCAGTTGTCAGAAAATCCGCATGACGTCAGGCCAATTGAACAGGGTTTTGCTCGCCGCGACTCACCGAGCGAAATATTTTTGGCCTTGAAAGATGAGCATCGGATGCTCAGTACGAGGGGAACGCTGCGGGCTAGCTTTACGTAGAAAGGCAACGGGCAGTGGATCACAATGAGGCGATGTGTATGTACGAGCAAAAATGAGGAGATGTAGGCATGAAAAACGGGACAATGATTACTAATGCATGGAAAGATAACGCTTCAAATAAATTATTATTACTATTATTATTAATAATATAATATTATATGAAATTTTATATATTAATTATTTATATATAATTTCGTATTTCACATATTTCAAACAATTTTTTTCAATTTTATTATTGTGGATGACGTATCATAATGATAAATAAATACAGATATTGTCTGGTATCAATACTTTTTATTCAGCTTATGATCGTTTCGATCGCGTAGCGACCATTCTCAGAGCTTGCAGCTTCTGGGCCGAAAACAAAGTTCTGGAGAACAAAGTTCAGGCGATCGATTATGATCGAAACGATCATAAGCTGAATAAAAAGTATTGATACCAGACAATATCTTTATTTATTTATCGTAATAAAAAGGTATATACCTCACCAGCGATCCAACTAAAGTATCATAATGAATTGCTGCTACTGAAACCAATGAGCAAAAATATTTCAGGTACTAAATTATTAGAAACATTTCTAAATTAAATGAAAATAAAACATTATTCAACAAAGGTAACTGCAGAGCGAACTCTAAAATTCCGTTGCAGATTGGAAATGGTATTACGTTTGTTTACGGAGGTCAATAATAAAAACAAAATAATAATAATAATAATAATAATAATAATAATAATAATAATAATAATAATAATAATAATAATGTTTTCTCAAATTCCGCTGTACTTTTCACCGTTACTCGTTTTCTAATATTTCAAAAACGTGTCGCTGATAAAAGAAGTTTTTCAAAAATATCTGAAAAAGTAAAGTTTTTCTTGTTTTTTTGCCGAAAAGAATTTGTTCGTTTACATACAAACTTCTCCAATCGGACGAAAGTTTTCATTTTCACAAACAATGAGTGAAGCGTGTTCCTCTTACCCTTATTCTTTTTAGATTTTCTTCTTTTGTGTTATGGCACCATCTTTAGGTGAATGTAAGCTTTCACAATCATCTTAATTTGATTATAAAGCTAGGGTGCTTACACTGTAAGCGCCAACGATCACATTGCGCTCCTTGCGTAGACCGAGGCTCCAATACGGGGAAATCGCCGCCGCCTCCGCCGTGTACCAGCCCACCGCGAGCGAGCACAGAATGCTCGGTGTCACGGTTCTGGGAGCTGAAATGCTCGAGCGAGCACAAGCGAGCAAATAGCACGCCTTGCCGATCTCTAATGTACACTTAAAAAACCCTAAAGCCTCTAGCCGAGCGGGTAGTCAATGCATTTTTATATAAGGGCGTACATTCGATTGTCCAATTTCCTGAAAGTTTGAAAAAGGATTTGAGTTATTGTGATGAGAAACATTCGTATCGTTTTGTTTTATTTTTATCTCGAATTTTCGTCGGTTTTGTTACTAAGGTATTTTTTGTTATTTTTATTTCTCTGTTGAAAATTTGCGTGGTGATTTCCATTTCCATTACTTTACCTTTTCTAATAAAACTGGGCAATATTTTAATGCTTAATTTATTATCCATTATGTTTTTATAATTTATTATCTTTTAAACTATTCTATTTCAAAACGGAATGCATACATTAACAGCAAACCGTTAAATTAACAACCGCTACATTATAAACCTCAATGGTTTCTTAAAAATTTTCCATCTTGAGATATTTCACTCACATTTTTTCTCTTTATTATATCTTCAATATATATATATATATATATATATATATATATATATATATATATATATGAATATCATTAATTTTATTCAATATTACAATTAAAACAAATATTATTTTTCTTTTCTGAAATGTGTTTTAAATAGCTTACACGAAGAATTCAGTTGATGGCATTTGGTCAGATAACAATTTATACCACTATATATCCAATATCGAGTACATTTCTGAATAAGGGTTTGTGTCCATTGCTTTGTGGCGCTCTCACGACTCCATGTTGCAGTGTTAAACATTTTGCCATTTCATTTTGTATAGATGTATTTGATGATATTGTAAACAAAACCGTGAAGTTGATTGCAAGATGAATCCTGAAATCTGAATGAATATTTATATATGAAATAATCACTGAGGGTGATACTTACATATCCCGAAACGTCCGTGCATAGACATGTTTTTATATACCTGACAAAACCGCAAGAACTGTTTCTTTGTGAATTATTAATGATCGTAAATTAGTATATAATGTTAATTTATTTTAATTAATGTAGTAGTGATAAATGTGTAATCTATCTCTGATGAGAGAACAATAAAGTTCAGAAATGTAAACAATATTTATGTTTCTTAATGTGTAATGCGCCATAAGAACATTGAAAAATAAACTCTATTAGTTGAATCGAATACGCCCCGGAGATTACTTTGAAAAAAAATTTGGTGTTGTTAGCCAACGCCCACCTTTGGCACGTTAGCCATTTGGTGACGCACCGACGAGTAAGGATGCGCAGACTTTCCCCTCGGCTTGTAGGAATCCTAAGTTTGATCCGCACGCCAACAATGGTCAAGCGCGAAGATGGCGAATTTCTATTGCTAATTTAGCGTTACCTAGGGGACACGTGTTTTAGGCCACGGACGCGAGCAACTTTGTCCCCGCTGTGAATTATTATTATTATTATTATTATTATTATTATT